TATGAAAAATTATCTCTTTGACGCACTAAAAATAATTTGTCTTATTATACAGTGCTATTTATTAAGAAGTAGACATAGGCATTTACCGTGCGTATATTATTTTTCCCTATGACGACTTTTAAATGACAAAATCCCTTCCGAAGGGCGCCTAATTTTATGCATCCAAAATAACTTCTTAAAGCAAATAAAAATTTGGCTGTCATATTAATTAATTTGAATATTGTTGCTTTAGTAAATCCCTATGTCTACTTCTTAATAAATATTCTCGGAACCAAACTAAGCTCTGCTTCTTCCGCTTTTTCACTAATTTCGTCTTTTGTGGAAAAGTTGAATTGTTTGGCAAAAACGTCATAGCAACTAGCGCACTTTGCCATTTTGTGTTGTTCGTAGTTTTGTTAAGGTAAAGATAAAAGTAAAATATAACTGGGGTTCCATTGCGTCTACTCGACCAGTGGCGTATTTTCGGGGGGGATGAAGGGGATATATCCCCCCTCAGAAGAATTGAGTTATCATCATAGCTATTAGGTATTTAGGTAATACTCCGCTACCCGCTCCGCCCACTTTAAAATAAAGGCAATAATATATAGGTATATATAGAGAGCAATTTTGGTTTTGGTTAAAGTCTAAAGTCACTAAACTCTAAATATTCTGTAGTATTCAGTATTCACTATTCAGTGAGTGATCAGTGTTGGCAGTCAACGATTTGGCTATTCGGCATCGATCGGCAATTCGCTACATTGATGCCCAAAATAACAAATAGGTATCAGGTACTTAGTACTGCTACTGAGGTGAGGTACCTGCGTCCTGCCTTTCACGAAATGACGAAAATAAGAATTTTAAATTTTAAAAACAGGAATTTTTTGCCCATAACTTTTGATTGAGACGTCTAATCGAAAAAGTACGAATCGTTTTGGATTCTACGCACCGAAATTAATCAGAAAAAGTTTTTTCCCGAGAAATTTTGGTGCAGTCGTTTTTTCGTAAAAAAGGAAGGTAAATAACTGCCTTTTTTTGCCCAGAAAAAAAGATTGTCTCAGATCGACCGGAAAAAAATATTTTCTTATAGAATGTGGCCTGTAGAATCCATAATTTCAAACAGTTCCAAGATCGGACTACTAGATCAAAAGTTACAGCCCTTTGAATTTTTTGTCGAAATTGGTTTTTTGCCCATAAAATATACCTATTATTCAAAGTTGTCGTTGACTAATTAAAGCAAAAGCAATAAAGGGGCCTGTCAGCAGTAAGAAATAAAATACCGTTCTAATCTAATCTTTTTCGCCTGTACAATAATAAATAGATAAATGACTACCAGCATCAGCAACCTGCAACCCAATTTCTATTTCTTACCCCCCTCCCCCTTCTAGTACGCACTGGGTGACTGTGTATGCCACGTACTTGTTTAATCCCCCCCCCCCCCCCCCGAATAAATTTCTACGTACGCCACTGTACTCGACTACAAAATACCGTATATTATAATTACATAATTACACATAATTACATTATAAACTAATGTTTTTATATTATTTAATATTGTATGATTTATGCAACAAGAAAAATGTAGATTTAAACCGATCCGATGAGTAATTGTTTACCATCAAAATGTGTACTTAAAATAAACTTGAACTTTTAGATCATCTATGAGTAAAAACACAATGGCGAAACTCAAATAAACACTTTGGTAACCTGGTTTGTACGTTTGGCACATATAAAACCAGCGGTTTATTTTTATTTAAGCGAATCCTCGTCGCGAGGAAAGGTATTTACATCCCATCTCCTCATTACGTCTACAGCCAAAGATCTTTTTTATCCGACACGTATCAGGTAAAGAGGTGTAGGTCAGTGTTAAAGATAAATATTAGCGCTTCTGTTCCAAAAGAGATGTTTGGGTTTCGTCTGCGAACTCACGATGATGCGTCAACTTTTGTTAACATAAAAAATTCCGTACGTTCCTCATGAATGAGATGGTACCAGGGGAACGTTTACACGTTTCTCCGGTAATAAATCAAAATGACTTATTGGAGCGGACGCACAAAGAGGACCTAATTACAAGGTGGTTGTGGGGTGCGTGTAAACTTGGTCTAATGTCGTCTTAAAGATGAAGACGAAAGCCTAATAATGCGGTATAGTGCACGCGCCCGTCCGCGTTTTACTGGGTGTTCCATTCATCATCGCCATCCCGCTCTTGTGGTGGCATGACAGAGACCGTTGGGGAATGTTCGTGAGATCACGTATTTATGACTTTAAAATTTCAGGTAAAATACTGTATTGCGAGTGGACCATGAATAAGAATAATATGCCCATTTGCATAATTGTCTCCCAGACATGTCCGGTCGTACAGGTTTCATACTCGTGCATAAATATTTGTTACATCGCACTGCACTCTCGTGTTTTACAACTGTACATCTTTTTGTTATCTTATTTCCATTTGACTTGAATTGAATTGCCAAGTTGTTTTTGTGCCAACATTCCGCCTGGGTTTGCTTCTTACAGAAACACCAAAATTTAAGGCACTACTTGGCCCTACTGTCAGTAGCCCTAAACCAGTACAACTTTCTTTGAAACACTTCAATGCATATTCATGGAGTGATAAAATTAAACCATGAGCCAATGAGGAATAGCTAATTAATCCTTTCAGCTAAGTTAATGTAATTTACTAGGAGCTTGCGTTAATCCATTTTCAATTACAAATAATTGACAACTGAACGCATAGTTTCGCGCCCCTTAATTTTCACATACATAAATCTGTAATTCCTAACTTTATTTTTATTAAGTCCGTCCCTGACCAACGCCCCTATCTGTTGCATTTATTCATATCAGGTCACACACAGTTTTATATCGGATTATAGCTACTTGCAAATATTGTATCTTTAATTCAATTAATTAGTGTTAGTTGAAAAGGATTTACCGTGTAGTGAATTATTCCTATAGTGGATTCGCACTGAATAACTATAATTAACAAATGTTTCTACTATGCATTTGTACATCATTCTTATAAACGGGCATGCTTGATTACCTCCCTAACGCTTTCTTTAAAAGTTAAATATCCATTCTTTGAGAACAACATAAACAGTTAGGTATGCTAGAAACGTAAGTTTTTGTCTTTTATTGCTTTAGTCTCATAACCGAATTCTGTTTATGCCGCACGTCGTAAATTATTAGTTTATGTGTGATCGTAAGTTGGTGTTTCGTTAAAAAAAATTCGGAAAAAGGGCACGTTACGCATATTAGTAATAACGATGGTCTAACATAAATGAGCGCCATAAAGAACTCACGTCTACGAAGTTACAGAGCGCCTACGCATTCGATATTACGATTTTAAAATTCCAGCGATAGTAGAAGATTCTTACTGCTTAATTATTAATTAACAAGTATCTATAACGTGGATCACTTCAGTACCTATCTGTCATAGTTTTTGACATATGTCCATTTTTCTCCAAAACTGGAAATGCAAGGGTGCATTTAAAAATTAAGATCTCTTAAACAGATCAAGATCAGCGAATGCTATTTTTTATAATGGAATCCTTAAAGCCTAAGGAATTTTTTGAGTGACTTAAAAAGTTTCCGGTTTTAAGACATTGTGGAAAACTACCATTTTGATGAAATATGGTCGCTCATTCGACTTTTCAAATTGTTGGTATCAAATGGACGGAGCTCCAGCTCATTCGGTTAGAGCCATAGATTCTAAATTAACTGAACTTGTTGAAGATCGTTGGTGGGGAACTAGAGGTCTACCACTTTGGCCCGCTAGATATCCCGATCTTAGACTTTTATTTGCGGGATCGGGTCATGGAATTAGTGTACGAAAACTTGAGAATAAGAATAGTTCGAGTTTTTGACTGTTCCTAGTATAATTTACCAAATGAAACTCACTCACTTATCCTGGACGGATTAAAAGATATGAATTTTTTTATGAGTCCTTGAATAAAATTGACATGTGTTTCTTATAAAACTGTTTGACATTTGATTCGAATGACATTTCAAATGAAACGACTGCTTCCATAGACGTTCATTGCAATTTTTTGAGGTACAGTACTTATTGGTTTTTGCGAGGGTTTTTGAGGGACTAAAATGTCGTCAATCGTATAGGTGGAATTTTTTTGGTTTCGTAAGCATTTGTACAAGGTAATGTGGTAATGTTTCAAAAGTTTAAAAACTTTTATTGTATACACGTTGTATATTTGATTTTTCGTGTTCAGTACAGTGTACAGAGACCTCGCTTATTATAATACAGAAAAAATCCTAATTTCAAAAATGTTTACCATGTTTATATTATAAAAATTCAGTCATTTGAACATTTATTAAAGAAATTCGATTGTTCATGCATATTGCTATTGTTAACATTTGCTTTAATGTCAAACGAAATGTATTTTTTTTTTAATTTTGAACTTTTTTAAATTTTTTTTATAAACATGTTAAACATTTTTGAAATAAGGATTTTTTCTCTATCTTTAAAATGGCTTCCAGTTCGATCCGAAAAACAAAAGTTGGTTATCGATATAAAATAAAGTATTAAGATAACGAAAATTCATTTTCATCATCTAAAAGAACAGAAAAAGTTCCCTAAAGAAAGTCTGTTTGGTTTTTAAATGGCCCCTCAAATAATGATTTGAAAGCCAAAAATCAAAAACGTCAATTATGTTATTTTTCGCCATATTTAAGAAACTTTAGAGAGGGGGTGAAGTTTGTTTTTTAATTTTATTTGGGCTTAACTCGAGGCTTATTTTTGTCCAACTCCGTACCTATGCTAATAAGCGAGATCTCTGTACTTAACACGAAATTTGATACAGCCTGTATAATTTCAAAAAAATAGAAAATTTCTATTCAGTTAAGGACGCGTGGTAATATCCAATGTTTAATTCTTACGCGATTGGTACGATTAATTTAAATATTCTGGTAAGAAGAAAGTTTAGAGCTACAGTTCGCTTTCAAAAAATTGTAGTAACAATGCTACGTTCAGTAATAAAAAGTTCAGAACAAGATCAAAACAGTAGCACACTAACCTCGTTTGCTATGTCCACGGGATCGTTGAATGGGAGAGTAGACTTGGATTCGATCAGATGCATTCCAGACGTTGTTCGCGTAGTCCTCATCGGCGTTGTAAGTCCTCCATTGGCGCTGCTGCAAACAATTGATGAAATTAGTAGGGCCTGGGAACCTCTAAAAGGTTTTTAAAAAATGGGTGGTAAAAGACAAATCTTTTCCCAAATGAAACAATCAGGTGTCTAAAAAATTGGGTTTCTTTACTATTTTTTTTCTCAGTTTTGAATTTATCGAGAATTTTCTAGATTTTTTTTTTAATTTTTTAACATTCCTATCTCGGAAACGGAAACAAATTGTATCGAAAATATGGAATAATACTATTACGTGTTTGTGCTACGCGATTATATTTATTCGTTGCCCCGGAAAGGTCTCTGTAAACCCAGTCATTGTTTTTGCTATTCAAAAGCGGCTAAATTTTTAACACAAAAAGTCATTCCCTCAGTATTCCAAATTCGGTTTAATTAACAGTGACAAAGCATATCACTATATTGTTACACATCAATTCTCCCAAAAATTATAGGGGTAAGCCCTATTTGCATAAGACATAACACACGGTATTTTATAAAATAGTTCTTATATATTGTCAGTGGTGCAACCTCGCAATAATATTATACAAAATTTTACTAGTTCATTTACATTTTCATTTGTTAAGTTGATTTCCGAGAAAATTTCACCCTGTATCCCCCTTTTAACAGTTTTAAAGATGCGATGTAAATTATGCACCATCGAGAATGTTTACAAAGTAAATTCCGTGTTATTTATAAGTCACACACCCATAATCCGCATTATTTTATGACTTCATAAATTAAAGACCTTAGGATGCCAACCACCAGAGCGACGAAAGCGAACGTATATAGGTACCCCAAACGTAGGTGGATAAAATATATCTCAAGTGCATAAATATATATCTCTTCTTTCATACATTTATTATATCCTCGATTATATCCCTGTAACACTTCCTAAACAAAGGATGCAAGCGTCATTACATCATTTCAATTGGTAATTTTTCATAAGACATTTTTATGGCATTTAATGCTGTTTACTATAAAAAAAAACGCGTATGATAATTGGATATTGCACACAGAAGTCGTAATAATCAATCGTAGCCATTCCCACATGGCAAAGAATGCGGGGTACGTACTTTCGTCTTTTGGAGTTTAGACTCGTTGTGCCAATTCTTTCATTTGCATACGTTCTTCGGATAAAAAACGAGCCGTAAGTTCTTTAAAAGAATCAAAGATCATTAGGATTACTAACTAACGGATTTTAAAATTTTTGCTCTAAGCAGTTTCCGCAGTAGATTATCATTACGGCAAATGGTCACGATTAATCACTGTTTGGGTAACGTTTGCCGATTAAATGATTTGGAAATTTGTTATTCGTGTACCGGTGATCGATATTACGGTTATATTCCTAACGGAATCGTTTATTATTAATGGTCCCAAATTTCATGTGTAGGGTAAACATATTCGGCAATAATATTTACTTACCTGCACTTCACCCTAGGGGAATGAAAATTACTCTACAGTGTGGTCCATTAGTGTATAGGGGAAAGTTTATGGGTTTATTAACGCACATATTTAAAATTCATTGTCAGGGCTACAACATACAGGGTGATTCATATCAAAGTTGGATTTTTTTTAATAGAACCCTCTATATATTATTGCATATTTCGATTCCTTGGTCAATTTTAGTGTGACTTTATGTATTACATATGATATCTACGAGTAAAATGAGTCGTCGTTTTTTCAAAAAGTAAATGTTCAGTAAAATTTTAATATCGCAGTTGTAATAAAACTTAGAAGGCCGTGATTCTGCAGTCACTTCATCAATTTTCAAGATTTCAATCAAAGATAACTTGATTTTTTTAAATGGAACTACCAAGTTTTTTATGGAATCAAATGTAGGATTTTTCCACCTTTCTAACGATATAAGCATGTCGGTGTTTACCGTATACTCATGAAAAGAAGTCAATCTTAATACACATAGGTCCGTGTAAGTGTTTCAGAGATAGAGTTGATTTTGTGTCTTATTTAAATATTTTTGTTTTCCATTTCACATTTCACTAAAGGAGCTGAATTGTCTGTGTGTAAGTGGAAGGAGGGCACATACAGCATGTTCTTTAAGTATTTTACGTATTAAGAAACATCAGTGTTCATTTGTTTTTAATAATGTAATTTGTTAGAGTTGATTTTGTATTGTCTTCAATTACATTGTTAAAAACAAACGAACAGTGATGTTTCTTAATACGTCAAACACTTAAAGAAGATGCTGTATGATGTGCCCTCCTTCCACTTACACACAGACAATTCAGTTCCTGGAGTCAAATGTAGGGAAACAAAAGTATTTAAATTAAGACACAAAATCAACTGAAATACTTAGTTTACGGACCTATGTTTATTAAGACTTTTTAGCTTCTTTTCGTGAGTACTATACGTGGATAAAATATTGGCCCTTTTTTTGAAACGCCCTGTGCATACCTACATACAGACGGAAAGAAGTTTTATTCTTTGGAAGTTGCTTAAAATTATGTAAAATGTCGACATTTGATGAAATTTTGACGTATCCAAAAAACGGTGATCGCAATAGCTACCTAAAATAAAGTTACTTTGGATTGGTATTGTTTAATTTGACGGAGTGATTTCTTTTGTCACAAAAAAAGGTTTAGCGTTGAGCTTTCGGGGTATGTTGTACATTTCATGATTAGGTACTAACACTACAGAATCACGGCCCTCTAGATTGTATTATAAATGCGATATTCATTTTTTTCTGAACATCTACTTTTTGAACAAATGACTCACATGTGCGATCAAAAATAAGTTGCTGTCGAGTCACCTTTGGAATTTTTGTTTACATTGGGAAATCGTACTTAACTTGAATTTCCAAAGGCTACTCGGCAGCAACTCATTTTTGATCGCCCGTTACATATAAAGGGATTCTATTTAAAAAATGCAACTTTGATATCAACCACCCTGTATGTCAATTGCAATTTCGTTAAAAATATTTTTAAGTTGTAGCCTTAAAAGAGTCCTTCAACACGCTTCGACAATTAATTTTAAATATGTCCGTTAATAAACCTACAATCTTCTACCCACGCACTAGTGGCCCACCCTGTAACTATAGGTCATAACTCATAAGCAATAAGCCGTGTTTATGGGAGATACCTAAACGTTTACTACTAAAATTAGACGGAGAGTACAAGCAATGTATACCCCGAAAATGGTAAGATCGTGTCGTAAGTAAATCTTTGCTACTATAATTAAAAGAAGATCACAATGGTCGCATTCAAGCATAACATTTTCTTGCCATTCGCTCTAGCCAAAAGCAAAAAAAACGCCCTTTAAATTAAAATGTTTATATATAAAATATTTGATTCATGTCAATCTGTCAGTGAGGTCAGGAGTCATTAAAGACATTATTTTAGCAATGTGACAGCTGCGGCCGGAAAAGTGACAGGTGCGGCCGGTAAAGTGACAGGCGGCAGGAAAAGTAGCCTGGTATGCCTCTTGTCATGGAAACTAAAATTTCCTGGCACATAGTAGGCATGAAAATGAAGATTTCATGACGATTTTGGGTAATTGTACAACTAGAGAAGAAAGTGGAATTGTTTCTGAAACTACAAACTACAATCAAAATTGAAAAATTATCGAATACAATAATGAAGTTTGACAAATAGCAAGCTAGATACTTCAATTTTAACTGTCATGATTAAGATTAATGCACCAATTGTTTTTTACTTTCCTCACTAGAGAGGAAAATATCGTTTTCTTCACCCTTTCATTGTACGTGTCCTACGTGATATACCTACTTAGGGGCGGATAACTAAATAGACGCATGGAGTGGGACAGATAGAAGAAACTTACTCCAAATTATTTGCAAAAATCGTCTTATAGAATAATATCACCAATATATTTAAAATTTGCGTTATACTTTAATATAGGAAACCATTTTTTTGCAAGATTATCACCTACTGTCACAATTTCGCAATTAATAATTGTACATTTAGATATACCAGCTTACAAACATCAAGGGGTTGAAATCAATCTCTAATGAGCCGTTTATAAATAAGATTCGCGACTAACCTTTATTAAAAAACGAAAAATAAATGCCAAACTAGGCCGTTTCTGAAGGTTCTGAACGATAGCAAGGATTTGTTACATGTCAATTTTTTTTCTCACGGGATTCCATTGCACACTCATAGAAGAGCAGGGGGAAGTTAATGTATGTGAAAGAGGTTTATCTTATATGCAGAACGCGTTCTACATAGTTTATAGTATAAACAAAATTTAACGTCCGTCTTTGTTTCCTGGTTGCACTCTGCATTTCAGTCATATAAATAGTCTGAACTTTGGAAACTTATTTAAAAAGAAATGCACGTGTTATGTACCTGCACGCTTACGATGGGCATTTAATGTGTTGATATTTTTTTGCAAAAGGTAATATAAAAACCTCAAATCAAGACTAACCTCGTTTATTTGAGCCATGGCCATGGGTTGACAGTAGACTTGGATTGATGACTTCTAGTAGTTGTCCTGGTTACCTCTCCATTGGCTCTGAGAACAAGTGATGAAATTAGTAGGCAAATCTAAGTACCCTCTTCAAAAGTAATTCATTGTATAGGGCGTGTTCGTCTAGTAACCAACCATTTGATTAATATACGAACACGCCTATTTTGTAGATCATTTACTCACCTTTTAAGCCAATCTTCTTGCAATAATAAATGAGGTATGACAATCTTCGAAGTCGCTCAACTTGGCAACGGAAGGATTAGCTGCAATGCTTCCCATTTCGCAGAGAAAACCCATTCACTTCAAAAAAGTAATATGGCCATGAATTCATAGTCATACTGATTAATATAAAGTGAAATGATTGACTCGTGCACCCAGCCTTAAGTCGCCAAGATGAGATGTTGAGAAGATATTATGCTCGCCAGGAGAGAATGGCGCGGTCACAGAACACCCGATGCCGGTTTGCAATCGTCCAGGACGATTATAGACCGAGATCAGGTGTTCTGTGATCGGCATTCACTCCCGGCGAGCATAATAGTCACAACTCATTTAACAAATGCCGGTCGCTGATCGTCCTACACTATACACTTCCCCCACACAAAAATATACAGTAAGACTCATGCTTAGAAAAAGAAAAATCCTACCTTTATAAGGCTGCCCTTCTGGAATCTGAAACAAAGGACACATTTACGTTAAAATCGTGCAAAACAGATTATGTTTATTTTATTAATCAAAATGTTTAGTTTCAAAATGCTTCAAAGGAAGACTAACGACCATCTTGGCGTTTAGCATATGTAAACAACAATTGCGACCATAGTTGTATAGTTGTGTTAAACGGTACAAACTGCCCTGTTAGTAGATTTGGTTCATTTTTGTTACTGTAATTACTGTATTGATTATATGATACTACCAATTTTCAATAGAACCCCTATAATTGAACCTAATTTCGGTTAATTGATATACATTCTTGAATTTCAGAAACCGGAATTCAAACTAAGGTAGAAATTATACTTTTTAGGATTTGGTGGAGTATGCACCATCCTCTTCTCATTCTTATATTCATTCGATAAACGATCACTTTACTGAATGATAGTTGTAGAATCATTATTAAATTAATTACGTAGACCTACCATAATTAAAAAGTGGAAACTTACCCTTTAGCCTTATTAATTCGGGCTCGCCTGGACCCAAGGGAAGGACGTAACGGGACAAACCGAAGCCATCTACGATCTCCAGTACTGGTAACTGAAAAATAAAAATATCGTGTTGATATATTTGAAATTTGTGTCTGTCGAAGAGGCAAAGGTGAAGTAAAGAATTTAATTATTGCTGTGGAGCCGAGCTTTTCTTAATATACATTTTACTTTGGAGCACGGTCCTGAGAGGCGAAACAAATTTCCCCTGGAGGTGCATTTTTTTGGACGTGGCATGACGAACGTTTATTTTAATGATTTTACCTGGATTGGTAAAAATGGGGGCCAATCCAAAAGGTTCTGTGGGTTAAATTTTATCCTCCGGAAAAATCACACGTGCATGGAACATTTTACTCCTTATAATAGAATCTCCCACGTAGGCGAATATTTATTTAAAACTTTCACAACATTTTTACTCTATGGCGTTAATTAACCGTATATTGCGCGTATTAATAAATAGGTAATTTCGAAACTCATCACTTAAGATTTTGCATCTGCTTTACATACTAAAAAGCCTTTTGTGCATGATAACCAAAAGGGAATTTGTTAAAAGGCTAGAGGATATCTTGGGGTAGCCTGAGTGCAGGGAGTCCTTCAATTACTTATCCCTTGATAATTTCCGAATAAACGTTTTATGACCGTGTTATTGCCGCATACTACCGTGCACCTGCACCTCTATCCTTGATAGCTCGACTCCCTTCACTCAAGGCATTGAGCGACACTTTTTCCCTTAACGCACCATTAACGTTAACGTCCCCATAAATTTGAAAGTGCAGTAGCACCTCGCGCCAATATTTATCCTAGACATAACAACGTGCGGTTATTAATAAATTGCGTGCAGAATTTGCGACGGACATCGAAGCACCTGTTTCCTTCGGCGTATTCGCGTTGAATTTTAATCTGGAACGGCTCGATATGAAGAAGTCCTAAGAAGGGTCCGTTATTAGACGAATAAAAACTAATTGCATAGAGACTTGGCGCGCGGACGAAACCAGTTTGTAGAATTTTGCTTGCACCGGGACCATTGCATCTTGCAAGACAAGGCCGCCCGATGACATTTGTGTTGCAATTGTGTAATGGGAAAGGTTACGTAAAGCCTCACGATGACAGGTGGGCGTCGTAACTGCTCTTCTAGTTGCGCACGAGCTTGCAATTTTAAATGGATGAGAGTGAAACTTAAAAAAAAGTCTGCAAGTCAGATGGGAACAATTGATACATTCACAAGCTTATTTAATAGTACTCCGATTCACGATCGCTGATATGGTCCTACCTTTACAACTTCATTACGTTGGAATTTGCCGTTGATAAAGTTGTTAGATTAAGATCGGAAACAAAGATCGTCAGATCGTAAAACTTTTCGGATACTTGCGCTAAAGGCTAAAACAATAGTATGTATCCTACTCATATCACTTGGCATAAACCAACTGGCTCCAAAAACGGAACAGTTGCAAATCCGAAAAACCAAAAAATTACCTAAAACGTGACAGTAGTACTGTACTGTCGATTACGATTACAAAATTTCCTCATTTAGGTCAGGTCATCTGATAGTTCTCGATAAAGCGTTAGAGGGTGAAGGAAATAAATGCAAAAGTATTGTGGTTGGATGATCCCATAGGAATTCGTGACCTCAATTTTTCTCCCACATTATTAGCGGTAGGTAATCGCCTTTGCGGTGAAGGCCATAAAAATGATCATCTTGTTCCAGAACCACCAATTGCCGGAAATTTGTCGTAAAATCCGCTCGAAGGTGGTGTAATTGATCTTCAAAAGTCGAAGTCGTAAACGCGTCGTAAAGTATGGCAAGTATCCATAAATTGGCACTTCGCTCGACCAATGCTCTTATTAAGTCTCGTTTAAAAATTACTAATTGCAGCTGAAAGTTTAGGTGAGGCCAAAACTGTAAACATGAATTCTTGGAAAGTATGTGATAAACTGTGTTGGTGTTATCTTTGTACAAATTATTTATTTGTAAATCGGTTAATGTCAAGTGTATCAAAAAATTTGCAAATAATATTTTATGGAGCGTAGTTTCCTGATACTTTCGTGTTGATTTTTTCTTCGTTCTTGACTTTGCTTTTGTGACCTTTCGTATACTGATACGATTAATGTGAAGAATGAAGAATCTTTTCCCAGAATCATATGTTCCACGCTAGGTATCTGATTATTTGTTGTGGTTTTTTATTGTAATAATAAACACGAGGCAATAAACAAAATGCGAATTCATACAATGTTTTGAAAGAAACACTGACAAACAAATGTGTTTTACACAACTGTGAATTTTATGAGTACCACAAAGGCGGATTTTGTATTTTTTCCTCTTTGGGATGTGTCCGAGATAAGGGCCACTATTATATGGGCATTCTGGAAATTGTAACAGATACCAATTTGGTTCAATGGGTGGTTCAATGGAGTTGTTGAGATATTTTGAAAAAATCGGATTTTTTGATTTTGCGAACTATTTTTTCTGGGGTTAATATTTGACCTGGAGCAAAACCAATGACACTTCTGCACAGCAACTTTTAATATGGCATATAAGACGCCATCGTTAATTTTTTAATCCGACGTTTCATCTTTGCGGAATATCAACATCATTTTTTTAAAGACTGCCCTGGTATTCCAATATCGTATTATTACAAACCTCTCTATTCTGAATTCAATGATGTAGGTACAGTACTTTACTTTGTTTAATTAAGGCCTTTTTTTTGGCCTTCAGTAAATAAAAAAATGGTTACATTTATTTTTAATTTTTTTTATTTTAATTTAAATAAATAAATAATTAAATAAATTCCTGATACATAAGGGTTTCATTTCATCCAACCAAACATACTACTATGTGAGGCATTTTTTCATTATAAAAAATAATTAATCGGCAAAATTATTAATTTGTATACCTACAGTTAATTGTTTTCCAAAAGTATAACACCCCTCTACCACCATCAAAATAAAAGAGGAATCTTTCTTTTGTGATTATATTCGGAAACACCCTACTTAGCGCGTTCACTCGATATAACCCCGCTTGATTTCTTCGTATGAGGGTTCATTAAGAATCGTGTTTATTAACAAAACAAACGTATTTCGGTTTTTCTAACATATCTTCGGTAGTAATCGGAATTATCTGCTTTTCTTTAAAACACGATATTTACTCTTTAATTGCACAACTTTGCCCTAATTTAACCATCTTCGTATCGTGTATGATTTCCGAGATCCCCATGATTGACATCTTTATCTTAGACACAGTGTATGCAGGGTGGGCCATTAGTGTGTGGGTGGAAAATTGTTGGTTTCTTAACCTATATACAGGGTGAGGTTTTTTTCATTTTAAGCATTAGGATCTCGGAAACCGTAAAACATAGAGATTCGGCTAAATGAGGAAAGAGTTGTCGTTGTAAGAACTTATTCAAGATATGCTTTTGTTTTTTTGAAAAAAATCCACAGTTTACTAGATATGAACGAAAAACAGATTGTGTGATTTTTCTTTTAAAAGTTGTAGAATCGTTAGTATGAGAAATACAGAAATATGCAAAAGACAAAAATTGTAGATTTTTTCCGCGTAATAAGATACATTAATTAGTAATATTTATTCTTCTTTTATAATTTTCGAGTTATAACACAAATTTACATTTTTAGCGCATTTTTGAAAAAAATACGCTATTATATTCGTTATGGCTGGCAGGCCGGCTGTCCGCGTGAGATCTCCACAACTACAATAGCTAGAGAATTCAAATTTTCACTAAAAGCTTTCTGCTATAGTGTAGATGTGCAGGCACTAGTCTATTTTGAGTTAGATTACTTGTGAGATCGATAATTGAAGAAAATAATTTCGATATGGGTTTCGGAGGTGCTATAATTTTACCGTTAGATAGGGCTACCAGTATAAAAACTTATTATTTACTTTGTGATTTGTTTTACAAAATGAAGACGTACCCTTAATTGAAATTAAATAAAATTAATTATTTAACGCAGCCAAAATTACTCGTGAGATCGATAATTTTAAACTTCGCTAATAAAATACTGACCTGCATTACCAAAAATGCGCTTTAATCATGCATATGCTGATTTACAACTTGTTTTAAATGATAATCATAGTTGGCTGTGACATTTTTAAAAAGTGCATTTTTTTTCTGTTTACAATGATATAAGGTTCATTGTAATAAACATGATACAGAACTATTTGTATTATTAAGAGTAGTAAAAACTGATTTTGCTATGGGAAACATTTTTGTTCTCTTAATTACTGTCTATTATAATATTTAACTTGCTGTTAGTTGTGCGGCGGGGCACCGTTGTGTTGAAACCAGCGTAAATTACGTCGTGTTTCCAAATCTAACCCATCCTACATAATCTTAAAATTCATTTGGTAGAAAATGAAGAAAACATTGGCCTGTCCAATTTTCGTCGTAAATGAAAAGTACCTATCTTACTAGATATTGTTTTCCATGGCCAATTCTGTTTACTTACCTCTCAATAATAGGAAAATTACTGCAGGGCGTTTATTTATTAAAGTACATTTAGCAAGCCTTATATTATTATAAAGAGAAAAATTTGTCCTTTTTAAAAATCTCAAATGACTACCATTTAAAAAAAATTAAAGTTTGTATTATAACTCAAAAATTGTAAGATCTAAAAATAATTTAGTACGTTCATCATATTAAGCATAAAAATATGACTTTATGTATTACACATGATATCTAAAATGGGTCGTTTAGCCACAATCCGTAATTTTTCAAGTAGAGATCCAGTAAAAATTATAAATTTGTTGCAGCGACATCTAATGCATTAACCCATAAGCGTAAATTAACCGGTTTAAACGTCACATGCTGCTCAATAGAGGGCGCTTTTACGTATACCTAAATACAGTGACTCTATAGAGATAGTGTGGTCATATAACGGTGGTGTTATTTTCTATTGGTTGTTCAGAAATTCGCCATGTTTTGACCTAATACGCTGGATTGGTGGAAATTAACCTGGAAACCAGGGTGGTAAATTTATTTTGCCTAACACACTTGTGACAGCATCATTGTAACCACAGCAAAATCTACTAATTTACTTAAA